ATGTATAAAATTTTACTAGAATAGAAAGGCAAATAATATAAAAGATTACATAAAATAATAGAATTAGCATGTTAAATTGCATTGATAGTATAATTTTTTTCCAGATAGTAAGTTAAATTCCTATAGGTATTGGAGATTCATTATTGAAAACTAGAAACTAGAACTATAATCTGAAAAATAAATAAAAGAACATAGAAAGATTTTTGGTGATTATATTTCCGAAAAGTAGAAAGAGAAATATAAAAATGAAACTAATTGAATTAAGCGTCATTTCTGAAAAAAAGATTCTTTATATTTAAATGATTNCCTTAACTTTTTCATAGTTCTTTTTCGCCGATTATTCAAAATAATATGTCATTCTCCTTAAATAACCAGTTCTCCTAGAGTTGAGTATATTGCTATTCTTTTTAATTCAATATACTATTTCAATTTTAGAACTCATTCTTCCTATCAGGTCAAATAAAATCACCTACACGTACACGTATAAGTATGTGTGTATATGCACATGCATGTATATGTACTTATATTCACATATGTTACGTCATTTGTAACAAAAATATTTTTATTTACTTTTATATCCAAGTAAATTATCATTGAAACGTTACCGAGAATGGTGAAAAATATGTTGTATCGACATTGGGGAGTAAATAATTTAACTATTAAGTTTCTCTATGACAAATAATTATTACTTATTTATATAACTATACACTATGAAATTGACTATACATTTATATTTACTTTAATGTTGAAGTCAAAATTATCATTGGAAACGACATTGAAGAATGGTGAGTGTTGCATCGATATTGGAATGAAAATAATGTAATGTTAAAAGTTTCTCTATCACAAATTATTATTATTTTTATTGTAAGCGTACCTTATAAAATCAACAATAATCTACTAGACATCCTAAGGAATACAAGTATTGATGCAATTTCTATATAGCTTTCATAAAATATTACTTTCATTGGACTATAGTGTTGTGATATGTATGCGGCTGTAAAAAGAAGGGGCTATAGAGGCAGAAATTTTAAGACGTGAAATATTTGCAATCATATATGAGGTTGCACATATTCATATTTAAATGATATTGCTGAGTTATCTAAAATTAATCAAGAAAACAGTCAAGAACAAAGGAGTAGCCAGCATTTTAAGTTTATGGGGTTGGGATCCTAATCCTTTAAGTTATTGGGTTATAAATTAATAATTTGTACATATTTAATAATAAAAATTAATATAAATATATTATTTGAACTAAAGCTATTGGGTTCGATCTAACCCATAACAAAGCTCCGCCTCTGATCAAAGAACTGTTATTGTTCGAATATTACTTTATTGCGTTGGGTTTATCTGCAACACAATACATATGTCTCTTTCTCTCTAGATGTAAACTTTGACGGTTCAGATTCATAGATAATATCCAATCATTTTACCTTGACAAACAAGTCACCATATGATGATCGGCATTGATCATTCACAGAAAGTTGTGCTTTATTTATTCCGTCAAAGTTTTGTTTTAATATTATTTTACTGCACCGTGTACTATAGGATTCAACATACACGTGCAACGCACGTGTAGAGAAACTAGTAATTGTATATGTATCATAATTGTATTACAAATGTATGATTATTGTATATTCATTATATATTGTTACGAGTAGTTGTGCGTTCATGACAAATTTCACAAGTATGATATGTATATTAATTTATTAGTATTGTATCAGGTATTATTTTGGGTATTAATATACCAGATACAAGTTAGATACAATTGTCATACAAGTATGATACATTTATGTTTTAAGCATTTATGTATCTGATACAATTCAAATACAATTATGATATAGTTATCCTACAATTATCATAAAATTTCAGAATATTTTTTAATAATATAAAGTTATCGGTAATGGTGGGAAGAGAGAAGATGGAGATTTTGGGCATAGATTAAGGATTTTGATGTAAAAAAAAGGAGAGAGAAGAGGAGAGGGAAAAAAAGGAAAGGATATAATTGAATCCCTTAATTGAAGGCACTAATAATGGAGTGGTGGTCTTTTAAAAAGCAATATATACAATTTGTAAGAAAAATCTAAATACTTATTAAAAACTTCAAAACATAGAGAACATAGGTAAATAAATTTCTAATATAGTATGGCTAGGTAAAAATCCTTTTTCTTTCTGTTAACCCTGGGCATTAGCTCCACAGAATCGGTCTTGAGCTTATAGGAGCCCCTCTCAGGGGGTTCGCATTTAACATTTATGGTCCGCTTAGTTACATTCAAAGAGAATAGCATTCTATTCTCTTCAAAGTATTAGTTTAAGATTTGACGAATTTAGCTTAAATATATATAACAGAACCTCCTTTTAATTAGTTGAGAAAATATATTGATATTATTTAGGATACATACAAGCAACATAATGAATGAAGTGTAAATAAATTGATCAAAATAATAAGATAGGAATTTCAACAGATATTGAACAACACAAAGAATCTCAAACCCTATTTGAATGCCTAAGGTAACAATTGGTATGTGAAATAAATTACCTCCATGAACGACAAAAAAGAACCAAAGATATACTATTTAAAGAACCATAAAGATCAACTTTAAAAGTAACTTAAGAATTCAAATCAAACAAAGAGAGTTCCAATCGGTATGATTGATGTTTATCGATCTTAAAATATGTTCTTAGAAACAAGTTCAACGAATATTATAGCTATTACATAATGCTAGGGGGGGGAAATTAATGATCTAATTATGAAAGGAAATAACTAAAAATCAGGAAAACATGATAAAAATAAGGAAAGAAAATGTACTTATGATCACGCCCAACTATGCCTTATAAAAAGGACTCTGCGGACGTTGCAAATATAACCCGAGTATTACGCCCAGGGTCGAATCCACAGAGAGTTAACCTATCAACTGCTATCTTCAGACCCACTAAGTCTTCAGAACCAGCTTCCCAAATATTCAAATCTCAGTTGAGTGTTCTTTAACAACTAGCTTGCAAATAACTAAATGGCTGTAACTAAGTAAAAATAAAGGTTGTAAACAATTATGAGAAAAAGCTAAGGCAATGATTTCCCCTATTGATGGAATCCCTTCTGTTTATGCTCATACAAATTTACCAACACATCTCTATCAATCATGAACGCTAATCTTACCGTAAATCTCTCCCGAGTAATCACAGTAATTTACTATTGCACTCTCCCGAGATACACTAGCTTACTTTATTTAGCACGATTCACTTTAGATTACACCCAAGGCTTCGTTATCCCTAATCCCGCCTTTAAACCTGCAATTATAGATTCCTCTAATAATCTAGGAGTGGTGTTGTTCAACAATACCCTAAATATGCACTCTTTTCCAAGATATGCACACTAAATAGGCACAGCTAATTGAGGATCCTGTCAATTAACTACAACAGACACGAAGTTGAACAAATAAAGATTAAACTAGCAATTTGTATTCACATAAACAAGAAGTTCATCACCAAATAGGTTCCATCAACACCTTAGACAAGGAATTTAGCTACTCATGACTATGGGAACATAAACTAAGCTTGAATTCATCATAAAATCAAAAGAAAAGAAGAAAGATGTTTAGAGTACTTTCTCACAATTGGTTTCCTTGCTAAGAAACCTAAAAAATCAATACATGCCTCTCTTGGGCGAAGTCTAATGTTTTAAATAGGGTTTAGGTCTAAAAATCCCGTAATTGACACTTTGGTCCCAGAAGTTTCTACGCCTGCCGCGGTTCTGGCCGCGTGGTCCCAGAAGTTTCTGCGCCTGCCGCGGTTCTGCCGCGGTCGCGGTAGAACCGCGGCCAAACACCCTCGCGGATTCTCACAACTTCTGCAGCTGCTTCCCACCGCGGTTCTGCCGCGGTCGCGGTGAAACCGCGGTGGATCCAGTTCTCTGAATCTTCGGCCTGTTTTTGCACGGGTCACTTAGGAAATTTCACAGTTGGCCTCTTTTTCATCACTTTTGACTCCAAAACTGCTCCTTAGCCGTCTTTATACATATATCACCTACAAATCATGAAAAGCACTAATAAGAGCATTTTGTCATCACTTTTAGCATTAAAACTACACAAGAAGGTGATTATTTAAGGTGTGATTATAGTCAAATTCACCTATTATCAACTTACAATAAAATTATTAGACATTTTGTTGCAACACATAGATTCTCTTTACAACCAATGAAGTTAAGAAAGATTGTAAACAAACCATTTTACTCAGCTTGCAGATTTACTCAATTGAGTTATTGGACCAAATGGATTGGATTTTTATTTATTGGTCATGTTGCACATCATCTTGATAACTTGAAGGGTCTGATTGGTTTTATTTTTAAAAATACTTGCTTTTAAGTAATTTGGATGGACATACTTTGTCATTTGATATTCTGATTGGCACACAGTAGTATCACACAAAATTGTCCTTAAACAAATTTCAAAAAGCAAAAGGTCAAAATACTTTTTACTTTATAACTAACAATTTTTTTTTTTACTTTCATAAGATTAAAAGTCACCATGTCAGCAGTAATAATCTTTGATTTTAATAAGTTCATATATTGAATTTAACCATTCTGCCGCAGATCTTCTGGCTTCCACCTGCTTCTCCTTAAGTTAATTTATTCTAGCTCCCAGAAGAAATTATCCACCACTTTGTTTCTTTTCGGTGATCTTGGAACGAATATGGTCTAAATGATGACAATAACAATTATGTCTTAATTTCAAACGAGTAATCGGCGACATGCTTTCTCATTGATAATTGTTTCATTTAAATTTATCCCAAATCAATATCGTACATCGTACAAAATAAAAAATAAAAGTATTAAAAACATGTAAGACTAAAAGATTAATTATTAGAAAGCATAAGACCTAAAGTAAATATACTAATATGACTAAAAACATATTTTCAACTAATAGATATAGCTAAGTAGATAGAAGATGACCAAAAAAAGCATAGAGGCGATAGACCTTAAGAGAGTAAACATCTGTATTTTATTTCTTTTTACACAATAAAAATTCCAAAATCAGAATTGACTTATGGTATCTTTACAATTTTCTATCGGGGTGGAGGGGGGGGGGGGGGGAGGGGGGGGTTAATCTCTAATATCAACTGTCCAATTATGCTGCTGAGGAAGAAGCACTAGGGGAACTAGGCTCAACATGTTTCCTTCTAGTTGCTCTAATATAACAAAAAATTGCTACAAAGAATGTTGTTGCTAAGCCTCCAAGAATAATTCCACCTCCAAAAATTGACTTATCAACTAAATGATGATGCTTAATCTTGATTTCATGAGCTTGATCAACTTCATTAATCTCTTGTTGATGTGGAGAACCAACTCCTTTAGACAAATTACCCTTCTCTTCTTCTTCTTGATGGTGTTTTCCGAGTTTTCGAATCGAAGATGATGGACTAGAAGCAGGAGAACTTGCAAAATTTGTTGCATTTTCAGCCATGGCTAGATACACAAATGTTTCTGTTAGGATTAAGAAAAGAACAAGAAACTTAGCCATGGTTGTGTGTTATTCTTGATATGCTGATGATGTTTGGCTTGTTCTTTGAGGTAATGTTGCTTAAGACAGTGTATTGATAACCTTATATATAGAGGTTTTCAATGGAAGATTTCATAACCATGCATGTGGTAGGATGGAAAGTTCCATTTGTCTTATTAATTATTCCCTCCGGTCCACTTTAATTAATTTTCTGACTTTTTTTTGTGGTTCATAATATTTAATCTTTTCAAATATCAAGAAGAAATTAACTTCTTTTTTTCAAAGTTGTCCTTGGAGTAAAGAGCATAGAAGTATTTGTTATATTTCCGATAAATAAATAAAAATTAATATGATCAATTTTATTATTAGTTAATATTAAATGGTAAATTCCTTAATATATGTAAAAACAGCCAAAAATCAATTAAAATGAAACGGAGGGAGTAGACCATTTATTGAAGAATAATTTAATTGTTGTCATGGAATTGTCTGCAAAGTGGGGGAAATCAAAGAAAATGCACGTGGAACCGATAGAAGATTTGGAATACCTACTGAATTAATGAAGGGAACATGATGTTTCATTGTAATGTTTGTGATGCATTTACTTTGAAAATTTACTCTAAATTTGATTAGTATAATGGAAGGTACAGATCTCAATAAATGTAAAGTTGAATATTTTGTTGGGGGCTGTGGCCTTCCCTGGCTTAGTTTACTAGTAGAATCTCAAACAGCTGTGTATAAATGTAGTTAAAATTAATTTGACAGTTGTAATCTAGCAAAATGCACAAAGAAACCCAGATGAAATTTCTATATTAAACACTAATGAATCCTGCTGTACTATCCTTAACCTAGGGGTTCCTGTTCCTAAGTAAAGAAATTTTGAGCTTTAACTTTATGGGTTTTGAATTTTAGAATCAACTTCAAATTTATTGGATTCTAAATTTAATATTTATATATATTTAATAAATTTCTTAACACAAATACACTGTTTAAGCAAAAGTGATTGAGTTCCGCCAAACCGGCATGCGGGCTTTTAGCCCCGCCTCTCTGTGTGTGCGCGTGTAAACACTTGGTTCAGATACGTATTTTACAAAGGAAAATTAATCACCAGTAAGTGAGATTCCCGAGATAATTTTATCCATGGTCATTGAACTTTTGTGTCCATAGTGTTAAAGGAAACAATGGCCAAATATTTTTATTGAACTTAGTATTAAGAGCAAAAACAGGTTTATGAATTTTTCTTTCAACAACAAATTCCAATATGAAATTTCAGAAGTTGCGTGACTTTACAATAATTGAACCAAGAATCTACGAATATCTGAAATTTTTTCCTCGACCAAAACCATAATTTATAAACATGTTTATGCGAAACATTGCAACTGTGTATCAAGGAAATCCGGGGTGTGCTGAAAGAAAATTCCCCTTTCAAGGAACACCTCGCGAACGGACATAATCAGAGGCAGACTTATGTTGTAAAGACTGGGGTCACCGGCACACGAAAAGTTGAGCAAAAATTTTATCTATACAAATATATGTCTTTAAAAAAATAGTGATATATTAGTAGTGGTGCCTTACATAAAAAGTAGATTTTGGTTGAATGCAAAAGTGTAACTACGGCCTTCAAATTCTGGGTCTGCCTCCGGAGTTAATAAGCAATTTATAACATTACTAGTCAAGGAAAGCATTTGCAGAACCCTTTTTTGATGGATTTGAATAACTATGATGACCAGCAAATGGGAAACATCCGATGTATAAAATAAAGGTAAATTTGGACCGAAGACACTATAATAGTTCCATAATATTAACTATTAGTTGAATGTCAGCCACTGTCTCATCTCCCTTCCATTATGAAAAACTGAATGCATCCATTTTTTAAACAGAGATATTTGCTGTCAATTCGATGGCCAGCTGAAGATCCTGCAATTATCGAAACCAACAGGGGCGATGCGTTTGTTAGTTGCACGTGCACACCGGTCTGGGGCTGATGTTTTCAATTATCTAGCAATGGGGCAGAAGGCCACATGTATGTTCGTAGAAATGCTGAGAACAGAATTTTGCAAGGAAAAATTACGCAACATATTAAACATATACACTGTATTTATCATTCGTAGCTATACTTTCAGTAAATCTACCGTTCGTAGTTATATTTGGATTTTATAGCAAATTTGTGAAATAAGAGAGTAATTGTTTTGAGCTAAAACAACAGAGCTTGTAGCTCAATTGGTTAGAAATCCCGCTTAATTAGCGGAGGTCTTGAGTTTGACTCTCAACAAGAGCATTTTAATATATATATATATATATATATATAGGGGTGTGTGTATGTGCGCGTGTGTGTTCTGCCTAACTATGAATTGTAATTAGGCAAACTATAGTTATTAGCTATAGTGTTTTGCGAAAAAACCTCATTTTGTAATACTTATTAGTATTTGTTGACGGATTATGCACGTAACCTAAATGGTGAACTTGGACAACTTTAATAATGCATTTTATGATAATCATGATTATAAAATCGTTGGACCAAGTATACCAAAACTTGATGAGTGAACTGAGCCTAAAATTGGGATTAAATGATTAATTTCATGATTAATAGGTTGAGCTGATCATTCAGAAGCTACCAGCTGACAAAATTATATCGAAAAGAAAGCAAAGAGGATCCTTCCTTGCACCAACCAAATCTTCAGCATGTGCCATTCTTAGGATCTCAAAATTTTCACTAGAGAATGACTGCTTAATTGAAGAAAATTAGAGAGATTTCCCTTCACGAGAAACCATGCTTTTCACTGGTCTATTACAAAAAATAATGCATCTTTCTACGTTTAGAAGTAAACTTTTAACTCCATATTCCCATTTTACTCTTAATAAAAACATAAGGTGATAAGACAATTCAATTTCCCACCTATGATTATCGACTTTGATAAAAAATTAACTCCGACTAGAAATGAGCAAATCATTCAACCAAATGCTTCAAAGGTGCTGTGGAACAAAATGATCAGAGCAAAATCAGAATTACATTAAACATAGATACATGATATAATAAAACTCAGGCTTAACTATAATGTAAACCTGATTTTAAATTTTCATGCGTCTATTGCTACTATTATAACATTAATCATAAAATCCAGGAACAAAAAAGAAACAAGGATTAAAAAGTGCCAACAGGACAACTACTTCAGTCCAAGCCTCAAAAAGGCCCATCATGCTGCGAAGGCTCAACATTTAGATGAGGAGCTTTTCAATGGCATCCTGCATAATGGGAGAAACAAGGATCTTAATAGTATTACACAAGGGAAGGAGGTTTATATGTAGAAGAAGGTACATATTAATAGACGAGAAAACCCTTGGAATATTACCTTTAATTGTTGTATTTGAGATTTCAACTGGCTTCCCTCATTGCTCGTCACTGAACAAGCAATTACAGGTCGGGTGACACCACATGCCCGGCCAAGAGCTTGCTTTGAAGGGACAAAGACATAGGGCACATTCTGAAAGTACGAGGGGAGAAAAGATGAAAGGAAAAAGTTAGAACTCTTTATTTAAAACCAAACTTTCCTGTTATCTCAAAGATTGTTTGAATAATAGCTAATTTAGCACCAAATAAAGGAAACAATAGTCCAGGTAACAGAGCAAGGTTGGTCTAGGAAAAGTAGCAAAAACTGAAATATATGAATATTCATACTAAAATTGTTGTTAAAAGACTACACATAAAAATTCTGGGTATAGCTATCACTGAGAACATGCAGATACACTGAAGAAACAGTTTGAAATCGTAAAAGACTACATAAATCAATAACAAATAAATTATATTTGTGTAGAAGCTGGTTAGTTTAGCCCCTTATATCAACAATAACATCCCTTACAACTGTTTACTCCTAATATGATTTCTCCTTTTTTTAGCTGTCAAAGTTTTTTCCACATATAATGATCCAGACGTAATCAGAAGTACAGTGCATTTTCTTATCATTGATAATGATGTCCTTATTCCAATTTAAATACACTCACAAAATAAAACTGTATGGGAGTAGAGTAAGTCATGTTATCCAATTCTCTTTGTTTATAAGCAGAGTAGAAACCCCTTAATGCTGATAAGCAGCAACAATCCCTTGTAGATGAAAGATTACCCCCAGGGCTTGCTTTGGTTCAACGGAAAAGATACACTACAAGTGATGTATGGTAGGCGGATGTCATTAAGTCAAATCCTAGCTGGTTAACCAAGTATACTATTTAAGTGGAGAATGGTAGAGACGTGAGCTCGTAACAACGGAAAAATCATTCATTGAGAAGAATTTTGAACTTCTATCTAAAATCAGAGTGCCAAATAGAGTAGAGGAAACAAATTGAGTTTCCAAATTATGGAAGGATAATACAAGGGTAGACATGTATAACAACATTTTTTTAGCAATATAGCCTTATACCTTCTTCCCACCGGGGGGGGGGGGGGGGGGGGGGGGGGCTAATCTTTAAAATATGCAAGAATTGTTAATCCAAGGAAGGCAGAAAGAAAGAACTTTCAGCATAATCAAACCACATTCATAGGAAGTTGCTACACTAATACAAGTACTGTCATCTTGAAAGGGGAAATATGGAACTAAGAGATGGCTGAGAAAGTGCAAGGATTCACAAGTCACCTCATAGTACCAGTCGCTATAAATTTCATAATTAGTGTCACAAAATGACTAGAAAATCTATACATAGATACTGGTTTCGCCTTTTTAGTTTTATTTTCAAGACAAACAGAAATATTTCATGTCAAAACATAGAATAAAACAGGAAACAGCTACAAGACTCTTGTTTAATACAAACTCTTCAAAATGATGAGTTTATAAACTGGACTGCATATAACATACACAAGGTTTCAATAGAGTGATATCAGAATAACGTAACATCATACAAACGACTTACAAACATAACTCTTGAAAAGTCCAATAATTAAAACCTAAAAAAAGGGGTCAAGTTCTAATCTTGATTTAGCCAGAGTTAGTCCACTACTAAATAAAAAAATCACAACCCCAAAAAGGGTGAAAAGATAAAACTTTTTGAAGGAAAAGAGCAAAAGGCAAACAATAAATCACCTTATCTTCAGCAAGGAGCGGAAGGTGAAGAAGGATTTCAAGGGGCTCAGTATCTGCAGCCATTACAACAAATTCTGAAATTCCTCTGTTTAGTGTCTTT